TAGCTCTTCTCTATTTTATCAGTGTAGAAAAGAGGGTGGGGCTTGGGCTCAACAAGGGTGTGTTGTATTTGTTCTAAGTCATTGATACAACTTGGCTGACTTTACCGGCCTCTTACTCATCTTACTATTGCTTGCGCCTTCGTAATCATCTAAATAGCTCATTAAAAGATAAATGATCCACCAAAATCCAATGAGGAATGAATCTCAACAATTGATACACATAAGTAAATTTTAATAAATTTGGAATGAGTCAACCTTAGTGAAAAGATCGAAAAAGTAAGATGAAACAATTTTAACGAGACAGAAAAAAAAATAATTTTTTAATGGAAAAGACTTCAATATATATATATATATATATATTGAAAACTCACAGATATCCACCACAATAGATCCAATATATCCCATCACGAACCTTAGGTTTAAACATAAAGTCAATAGGTTTAAACATAAAGTCAATAGTCTTTAAACAAGTACAATTACTCGGTAACCTCGATATAGGCAACTCGAAACCTATACTTGCTAATTTGATTCTCCTATCGTTCAAACAAGGAGAGTACTCAGGTCTCCTACCAATTACCAAAACAAAAAGGAAAAGGGTTAAATAACCCCTTGAATAGGAGTTTCTGTCCGACCATCTCCATTTAGGACGGTTCCCAGTGGAATTTTTTGATAAAATTTTTTGAGCATCTTATTGATCAAGTCTAGTTTACTCATACCAAATTTCAGCTAAAACTTCAATCGGAAAGGCATTCAAATTTCCCTCCATAGTTGGGATCCCTCTCCTCTCTCTCTCTCTTAGCTTCTTCTTCTCTCTAAAAAGCCTGGAAGCTCCACTAATGACTTCTAAGGCAGATACATGTATTATGCAATGGTGAGAAGAGCCTAATGAGAATGAGAGTATCTTGGACATTAACCCAAAAAGTCTCGTGATTTTAACCTTCCGGGTTTCCACGTTAAATAACTTGTTCATGCATTTATTTATACACTTCTAGATTTATAGTTACTCTGTTTTGTGTTGGATTAATTTCAACACATACTTTTTTTCCTTTTTGCTTCAATTCCTTTACCACAACAAGAAGAACGCAATTGGGAGAGTCGCTTATTCTTTGAAACAAAGGATCACCCTAAAATAATTCATCATTAATGGTGTTTGGATTTTTCGAATAATAGAAAATAAGGTAGTAAAATAATTTTATACTTTTAATTTAATAGGTGTCTCCAAAAACAGTCTCTTTGTATTTTTGTACAGGAGTAAGATTGCGTACATTCGACCCCCTTACCGCGCCGTAGGTGGGGGAGCCTTTGCAGCATTGAGGTAATGATGGTGATGGTGAAATTTAATTAGGTGTCTATAAATAGTTATTTTGTGATTTGAGAATAAAAATACTTTCTTAGGTGTAAGAGCATCTCTAATGTTATATAATGTGTACCGTGCATATGTGGCATAACGAGATAGATAAACACAAAAGAATGCATTCATGACATTCATATCTCCTTCTTTCCATAGTTTTTTGAGTTTTTTGGTAAGTTTTACACAGTGGCGTATCCACGGTGGGGGCAGGGGGCAGCTGCCCTCACTCAACCCCCACCCAACCACCATATATATAGAAAATAAATGTCAAATAGGCACTCGAACTAAAGGATCAAATAAGTCATCGAACTAACTTAAAAATTGCAATTCACCTGTTATTTAGGAGGCTCTGTCCGGACGTCATCAATTGGGGAGGCTCCCGGTGGAATTTTTTGCTTAAATTGTTTGAGTATCTTCTTCATTAAGTCTAGTTTACCCAAACCATATTTCAGATAAAAATTCAATCGAGAAGATAGTCAAATGATTTTCTGAAATGTATTGCGTTGTTTAACTGCGCAATTATCTTCAAAAGTTCATTTGAATGTCTTCCCGATTGAATTTTTAGCTGAAATTTGGTATGAATAAACTAGACTTAATGAAGAAGACGCTCAAAACATTTAATCAAAAAATTCCACCAGGAACCGCCCCAATTGGCGACGGCCAGAAAGAGCCTCCTAAATAAGGGATGAATTGTACTTTTTAAGTTAGTTCGAGAGCCTATTTTACCCTTTAGTCTTAAAAACTTTGTTAGACATATATTTGTGTGCTGAATATACGTATCTTATACAAGTACTACAAACTATGCAAGTTGTAACTAAACTACATTGTAGCCCAATGGAAATGCATGGGTGTGCGTTTGATGTGTTCCTCGATATTCAAGCTGGGATCGTTTCCTTCTTCCATCTTTATTACCAAAACTTTAGGCTTTGTTTGCAAACAATTAATTTAAGTGTTTTTGGCTTTTTTTTTAAGAAAAAGACACTTATTTTACCAAACAATACCAACTTTTACTTTTTCGATTTTCTATAGAATCTACCTTTTATTTTTTCTATTACACAAAAAACACTTATTTTACCAAACACTATCAACTATTACTACCAATCACTTTTTCCCAAAAAATGCTTTTATTTAAGCACAATCACTTGCAAACAGAGCCTTAGTTTTCTATCCATTTTCTTCCTTGGTTTCCTTTTTAAAGTTTTAATCAAAGTGACTTAATATCCATATACTGGTTTAGAGTTAAAGTATATTTTATTAAATTTTGCACTTAATATATAATCTTGCGTATACGATGTACATCAATTCTAAGTACATACATTATGCCTTATTCAAATTATTTATTTATTAACATAACATCAAAAAATTAAAAAATTTGTGACAAATTTATTTCTCACATAGTATAATTTGTTAAGTATTTTATGTTTTTTGCTGATGGATTTATTTTTATTTTTAATGAATTTTTTACTGTTTTTCTTAGTGTGTTGAGGCAGTTGAGTTGCTTGTGACATGCGGGAGATAATATATAGTGTGTACTCAGCATGGTGAAGGAACACTTACCAAAAAACATGTATAAATGTTTAAAGAGAAAGATATTATACTTATTAATTTTTGTGTGTCTATCTCTCTCATGTCACATGTTTTAATGTGTACAATTCACGTTTTTTGCATTGGAGATATTCTAAGAAAGATAGTTGGGCTCTAATGCAAACATAGGATGTGAAGTTGAGTGTGTTTGTCATAATAACTTCTTGTCAGTTCTTCCTGATCGAAATCACCGTTCGGACACTTCCATTTGAGATGCTTTTGAGTGAAAAGTCTTTATCATATTCCTCATGAAGTGAAGATTTTGTCTACCAAATTTCATTTTAAAATTCAATCAAAAAGTCAATTCAATAAATTATTGAAAAACAATGTGCCAAAATATATATAAAACACAATGTTTTTTAATAATTTATCTAATTGATTTTGCGATTGAATTTTAAAGTAAGGTTTGATGACATTAATCACATAATCTACACTTCATGAAGAGTATACTCATAAAATTTTGGCGGAATAATTCTCTTTGGACACCTCAAATGGAAGCGGTTGGACGACCATTCTGACCGGGGAAGCCTGAGTCGCCTGACACACGAATATTTCTTATAACGAGAGGAACTTATTGAGTAATTTTAGATAGATCAAGTTGTCAATTATTTAGAATTTTAAACTTTCATAGAATTTAAGCTTTTCCAGCTAAAAATTATGAAAAATTCACAATAATAATTTCTATTGAGGGTGTTCATGAAAATAATCCGAACTAGCAATAGTATCCACAAGAATAAACTAAAGTAAATTCAAACTAATAATGCCTATTTAATACTCCCAACTCCTACCTCAACTTTCCCCTTTATCACTTTTCGTCTCAGATGACACTTCGTCTTCCGATCTAGACAGAATCACATATGGAGGAATTGACATTGAGATTAAATGAGGTTTAGTTTGAATTCACCCCGATAAAAAGAGGGAGAGAGAAAAGTGGGTGCATTGGTTGGGAATATTCAACAGACATTAAGTGAATTCACCCCAATTTATTCTTGTGGACATTATTGCTAATTTGGATTGTTTTTATGAACACTCTCAATATGGATTACTATTGCAGAATCCATAAAAATATGAATTACTCTTATGAATTTTGCCAAAAATCATTACAAAGCTAAAATCTAATTATTGTCAACATTCAATGAATTTTATGAATTACCTTAAATCGTAAATTTCTATGAATTCCTATAAATTTATTAACCAAAAAACATAACATACACATATTTCAAAACGAGTCCACTTATCTTTTGATTTTCATGGATTTTATAGTATTCTATTCCAACATGGTATTCAATAGATTTCTATCAATATTCATAAAGTTCTCTATAAATCTTCACAAATCCATAAATTCTATATTGAGGATACCTCATTAATTTGTTAACTTACTCTCTTAAACTGAAATTCATTTCTATGAATTTAATTACAAGAACTAATTTTTATCTGTCATCACTACCATCTCCTCCTATCCTAATGAGTGTGAAAGTAGTCTCCAACTTTCTAAGTCCTATCTTCTACTTCCATTCCAACAACTTCTTTAATTTCAAGGAATGCCACCATCCAATTCATACCCTCTTATCCTCACTTAAATCTATATTTTTGTGAACACATGTTGAAGTTTGTTTAGCACAACTAGCTGAAAAGATATACTTTAGTAAGTTTTTTTAGTAACGGATAGTTGTTAGTGATCAAAAGATGTTGTAGTTTTTCAATAAAAATTTGATTGTTAGATTTGGTTGTGTTTGATATAAGAAGCTGCTTTAACTAATGAAAACTACATACTAAAAAGTTACAAAAACTACTCAGTGTTGCGTCTAAAAGTATTTATTTTTAAGAATGCTTTTAAAATTATTTTGCCAAACATACAATGTTTTACAAACTCTTTAAATAGTATGGAGTAAAAATTGAAGAATTTAAGTAGTGTAGGGACTTGAGACAGATCAGACTAGACCAGATTAGACCGGATAAAATTAGACCAGACCAAATCATACTAGATTAGATTAGACGAGAACATAAAATTCAGTCTAATGTAATGATTTTTTTCACAGCTTAAACGATACCTTTACTTCGTACGTTATTTCTAAATCGGTGTATTATCAATTTTGTTAAACAAAATATTGTCCAGTACTGAAATTTATATAGAGCAAACCTGTATACATACGAAGTACGGAGTATATAGCAATTCCAGGGATGAATAGTTTCTGGAAGCAAAAATGGATAACCCCATCACACGAAAAAGAAAAAGAAAAAAAGAGAGAGAGAGACAAATAAAGTAATCAAGCAAAAACCAAGAGAGACAATACATGCATTAAGCAACATGCATCACTTCTTCCTGTTCTTATCCCTGCCACCGGCAAGAAAAGAAGGTAAACGAAAGAAACTTCCCGGCGGAATATTCAAGACTGGGTTTATCCCCATCCCACTGTAATTCATCAACTTCTTCAGCGGAGGCTTTTGATGATGATGATGATGACCGGTAGAGACATTCTGTGACTGTTTCATTGAAGAAGAAGAAGAAGAAACTTTCTGGTAATTTCGTTTTGCAATTGGGGAAGAAGATCCTGTAGAATTGCTCCTTGACATAAGAGGAAATGGACAGAAAGTTCCAGTGCCACAACTCAAACTTGAACTCCGCCCCAATCTCCACCTCTGCTTTTGCGGCGGCGGCAGCGGCTGAGGAGGAAGGGGATGCGGCGGCGGCGGAAACACCATTCTTTGCTGACCCATTCCTCTCTTGATCTCAGTAGGAAGAATCTTTCCGTCCAAGAAAAGCTCATCTGCTGAAGAAAATCGATCAAATCTCTCCCTGAGAACACAAAAATTGAACTCCGAGCTAGACAGGGGCGGCGGCGAGCTCGGCCGGATGTTTTGATGTTCGACGGCCATGTCCGCCGGCGAAACATCATGGGAAAATGATATTCTTGGGCTCATTATGATCGGCCTGGAATCTTGGGAAGGAAATTGAACGGCCAGCATTGAGGTGATGGCTTGTTTTTCAATAGAAACAGAGCTTTGGGATGGGGCAGAGTAGATGATTAAAGGGAAGGGATGAGATGATGAAGATACGATGATGAAAACTTGAAGATTTTCCTTAGCTCAACGAATCTTGAAGATGAAGAAATGGAATGGCGATTTCCAAATGGCGAATAAGGACCGCTCCCCCACCAAGATTGACCAAGTCTATAAGCGAACTATTTGTTGCACGTCTTCATTCATACGCTTCACCGTTCTCACCCGTGAGTCCTATACGAATCCCCACCAAATACTTACATAGTTAAATACTTAAATTTCACACGGAGCAAGAAGATGCAATTCTCTAAAAAAAATGAAAAGTAATTGTACTCAATGAGACTAAAACATGGTTAAAACTCCAAAATAGGACTTAAAATTTTAAATTGTCTAAATGGGACTACAGATTACATATTTACCCTCAATCCCTGAATCACATTTTCCCCAGTCCCCCTACATCGATCGTGAGACTTGTAAAGACATCCCTGCGAATCAGCTGCCATGGACTCGGCTCAACCACCATCGATCGCAACTCGACCTGCTATTATCGCAGCTGCTTGCTCGACGCTGGCCGCCACCTCTTCAACGATTCTCGCAGCTCCACCATTGACGACCTCTGCTGCAATTTTTCCAGGTATGTACTCTTCTTCTTCTTCTTCTTCTTCCTCTTCCTCTTCCTCTCCTCCTCCTCCTCCTCCTCTTCAATTTTCTGGTACTCTGTTATCTTGTTCTTTGGATTTCAATTTTATTTATAAAGCAGGAATTGAGAATGCCATAAAATTATCAGTAATTTGAAAACTGTCAATTTTATGGCATTACATTTATGAAGATGAATGCCATAATTGATGTTTAATCCAACACTTATTTGTAATAATGTCACTTTTATGACATTACATTTGCCAAGGTGACAGTTCAAGAAGAAAATGACATATTCAAAGAGTAATAATGTCATTCACATGACATTTTTGAAACAAAGATGACATATTAAAGTGTCAGTTTTTTGAGTAACAATGTCAATTTCATGGCATACTATCATCATGATAAATGTAATGTCATAAAATTGACTTTTTTCTAATTGCATTAAAAAAAAAAATTAAAAAATTGAAATCTAAAGAAAAAGAAAACAGAGGACCCAGTTAGAAGAGGATGTGAAGGAGAAGATAAAAAAAGAGGAGGAAGAAGAAAAGAGAGAAGAGAGAAGAGGAGAAGAGATGGGAGAGGAGAAGATTTGGAGAAAATTACCTGGATGTCGCTGGAGAAGAACAGGCAAGCAGGCAAGCGGCCTTGGCATCTTCATCGCAAATCGTTGTTGGTCTTCATTGCAAATCGTTGTTCATCGCAGATGGCATGGGCATCTGCATCTGATCGATGTTGGTCTGTCAGCTGGAGTGATGCAATGAATTGCAGGGCCTTTTTTAATTAAGGGCAGTTTTGTCAGATTTCCTCTTTTTAGTCCTTTTTTTGCTAAATAAAACATAGTAGTCTTATTTTTACAATTCTACCTTGTTTTAGTCCTATTTAGACAAATCACTCAAAAATGAAAGGATAAATCACTTAAATTAATACCATTATAATCTTAAATCAAACTCAAGGAGTTCAACACTAACAACAATTATCTGTAACCAACTATTGTAAGGTGTTAGCGACTGTATAACCAAGTTCATTAAGTCTTTATTGATATGGACCGTGTGTCTTTTTTAATCCTAGGGTTAGGTCTTACTCTCTATAAATACAAGCTCTCTTCTTGTAATCATTGATCCGAAATTAATATCAATATCCTGGCTTGGTAGCGCCCCCAGACATAGTCCTTTGTGGCGAACTGGGTTACCGAATTTCGTGTGTTCTTTCTTATTGTTCTTCATGTTGTGTGAGTTTAATCCTAACAACTATTACTGTTAACCCACAGTTAGAAATAGAATCAATCATTATTGAAAAAGCAATACGAATCACTAACCACCAAACGGGTGTGACACAACAATCACCGATCATATAGAATTTTCTAACAACATAATAGCTAACAGAATTGTCAATCGTTATTGTAGACCTAGAGCTAAAGATATCAACAACAATAGAACAACGTTAACAAACATAACGTGAAAAATAAGAGCATAAGAAATAAAATAATTGCTAAAAGCTACAAACTCCTTCTTTCCCATTTTCTTAAAATATCATCTTCCAAACTCTGGCACCTCAACCGCTCCAAGGCGGCAATTCAGGAGAGGATGGATCGTCGATCTGTCTTCCCCCTTGTTCAGCCCTTCACCTCTCCTCGACTGCTTGTCGCCTATGCCGCCTCCTAATATGGTCGTTGTGTATAGTGTACCTGCCAATCGTACCCAACTTCTCCCCTGCCACGTCACCCTTCATCCCTCTGCCGCTTGAGCACCAAAACATGTGGTCAACCTTCTGCTCACTCGTCAGAGAAGCAAAGCCCAAATCAACGTCAACCACTTTGTGTGTGTCATTCCAAAACTGTGATAGTGATCAAGAGGTTTCTGGAGCACGCCTGAATAACCTCCTAGTGCCCAAAGCAAAGCCAATTCGTAAGACATTATACGAAACAAGTCTCACCCAAGATAAAACCAAATCTAAATACAAAATGAAAACCCATGTAGCATGGAAATTCTCGTGAAAGAGTACGTTTCCCATTTCGGAAACTCCCGAAAACTCTTTGGAAACTCTCCAAATAAGCGTTTTTTGAGCAAAAGCTGATGTTTCCCGTTTCCTCATTATTTTCGCGTTTCCATGCAACATAGATGAAAACTATAAAAAAACAAAAGCTGCACAAAGATTGGCATATAAGCAAACTCTACATTAGAGAGGGAACGGTCGCATCTTAGGGTTTTGGTTAATCAATTATTCTAATTTTATAGATGAAATTCTCTAAATATAAATAAGATATAGACAAATTACTTGAAATGAGATTCAAACATGTTTCACTTTTTGATAATTATGTGTGGTGTGTAATTAGGTAAGTATGTTTTTAATTGGTCTTATTCCAGTCTCATACTAAATCAAATCAAATTAGACCCTACTTGAACAGATCAGATCAGATCAGACTAGACTTTAACAAGGCAAATCAGATCGGACTTCTGCAGTTGTAAAATACACAAAGACCAGACATCTATTCGACCAGACCAGATCAGTTCAGACTTGACAAAACCAGAACAAATCTAAATAAATCAAATCGGATTATAAAATTCAGTCTAATTAAAAACATTCAATTGATGTCATGTTAGAATTTGTGTAATTTTATTGTGTAAAAAGAATTTTTGTATCAATTCACCCAATTTGTAAAGTAACAAATTTGTAATTAATACGCAATATGAAGCACTAATTTTCTCACATTTACAAACACTTTACCAATGAAATAGTTACTTTCCTATTCCACATGATAGACAAACTGGTAGGGCCTGTTTACTAACAGAAATATTTTCCTGTTTTCTACTTCTGTTTTTCGTTCTCCAATTTTCTGTTTTTATTTTTCAGTTTTTCTATCTCCAATTTTCTGTTTCTATTTTTTAGTTTTCCATTTTCAAATTTGAAAACATGTTCATCAATTTTTTCACATAGTTCTCCAATTTCACACCCTTGACCCTTACCTCTACCCCTACCACGATCTTACACTCTACCCATACTCCACCACAACCCGTCATACCCACCCATACCTACTCGTAGGGGTCGGGTAGGGAAGTTATGGATGGGGGTGGGGTAAGGGGTATGGTCGGGGTGGGGTGGTAAGGTCTAGGGGTTGGGGGTTGGGTGGGGGTAGTGGGTGGGTTAGGGTCGTGGTTAGGGTTAAGGGTGGGGTAGTGGGTAGGGTTGGGTAAGGTAGGGGTAGGGTAGGGAGTTGGGATAGGATGGCGGTAGGGTGGGGTCGGGACCAGGGTTGGGACGGGGTAGGGAAGGGGTAGGGTGGGGGTAGGATGGCGGTAAGGGTGGAGGTAGTGGGTGGGGTTTGGGGTTGGGGTAAGGTAGGGGTAGGGTAGGAAGTTGGGATAGGATGACGGTAGGGTGGGGTCAGGACCAAGGTGGGGCTGGGGTAGGGAAAGGGGTAGGATGGCGGTGGGGGTAGGATGGCGGTAAGGGTGGGGGTAGTGGGTAGGGTTTGGGGTTGGGATAAGGTAGGGGTAGGGTAAGGAGTTGGGATAGGATGGCGGTAAGGTGGGCCCGGGATCCGGGTGGGGACAAGGTAGGGTAGGGTGGGGGTAGGATGGCGGTACGGGGGTGGGGGGTAGGATGGCGGTGGGGCCGAGGTAGGAGGCATGTGGTAAGGGGTAAGGTAGGGGTAAGTGGTAATATACGAGGGGTGGGGGGTAGGGTAGGGTGGGTCGGGGTGGGGTCGAGGTGGTAGGGGGGTGGCGGTAGGGTAGGGTGGATTGGGGTGGGGCCGGCATCTGGGCATGGGGTGGGGGTAAGGTCATTATAGGGAAAAAATGGGTACGCGGGGTGGGGGTTGGGTGGGTAGGGTAGGGTAGGGGTAAGTGGTAAGGTACGAGGATGGAGGTACCGGAATAGAATCGACATCGGAGCGGGACCGGACCCACCACTAGGTGTAAGTATGCAAATTCATTGCAAAGACACTGTAGCATCTGCGTTTTCCAAATTTGGAAAACTAGTAAAAGTCACTTCTCCAAATCATGAGACATGTTTCATTTTTTCGTTTTGGAAAACGATTTGGTAAACGCGTTTTTCTTTTTTCCTTTCTCCAGTTTTCCAGGAATTTCTTTGGTAAACACATTTCCTGTTTCCTGTTTTCCAGTTTTCTGGAAAACTGGAAAATATTTCTGTTAGTAAACAGGCCCGTAGTGTTTTATAGATAGGGGAGTAACATAAACTTAAACTTTCACACAAAATTTAAGATAATAAATAAAATATGTACACATAGGGGTGGACTAGGTCCGGACGTCCGGTCCGGGCTAGGCTCCATGCGGGGACTGGCGGGCTCCGAGTCCAAAATTATCACGCCCGGTACCGGCCCGAGTTTGTACCGGGACCGGGTTGGTCTGGGCTACCTAAGCGGGTTTCGGGACGGGACTGGGTCGGGTTGGGCAAAAAAAAATTCCAAGTTTTTTTTGGAATTCTTGACCTTTAGGCCGGTGCGGTCCACTAAAATCAAAGTCATGTACCGCTTGCTTCTTCATCCGGGTCGGGCCCCAGGCTTGGTCCCTATCCCGGTCAACCGGGCTGGGTCAGGCCTGTAGCGGTCGGGCCGACCCGTCTGAGT